AACTGAGTCAATAATTAGGAAGTTCACTGGGGACAAAAAAAAAAAAAAAAAACAACAACAACTAGTGAGCGCAAAAAGTATTCAATTAGTCAGAAAATCAAACAATCTAATACTTTATATAAGTGATCTGTATTTTCTAATTGCTATGATATTGTAAAAATTAAAAGGAAAATATTTATGCATTTAATTCTATAAATTTAATATGCTTTTATTAATTAAATTAAAAACAAGTGGATTGATTATGGAAAGAACAACACTAAAGTCCTAAAGGGACAATTTGATCCTATTAAAGTTTGAATAAATTTTTAAATATAAAGAAAGTATTTTTGGGTCCTTAAGTGATCTTTTGACAAATTTTACAGTTTATAAATTTGCATTCTACCTTCTAAAATTTACTATTCCTCTTAATTTGATTTATAACTTGGTTTCCCAATTTAATTTAAGAACACAATTTTTTTATTAAAAAAATTTAAATACTAAATATTTTATAAGATTATTTATTTAAGTCATTTATAACTTACTCTCTTAGATTTGAAACTTCGTTTACTATGATTTGTAATTCTATATTATAATTTTATTTGTAAACATAGTTTCAATATTTTGTTTCTCATGAGAAATTACCTATTCAATTTCAAGAATTTTCAATTTATTCTCTCCAATTTGTAACTTTATTTATCTTAGTTTGAAGCTCAAGTTTCAAATTTTATTTAGAAATTCATAAATAAAATTTTTTAAATGAGGCCTAACAAAATCTAATAAGGGTGTACTACATCAACCTTATGCATCTGGTGCTTTTCTAATTAGACTTACTCTTATAAAAATTTTAATCATGGAAAATAAGACACAAAAATCTTAATAACCAATACTAATGTCATAATGTATGCAATGCAATTCATCATGTGATAGCTATGTGGGGCATGCAAAACATGTTTCCAAACAATCAAAAGCTAAATATTCAAATTCGAAATGTATGACCAACACCTTATCTCTTTCTTTCTCCATACTCCGTGCCTAGCTCACCCAACAAAAAGTAAGCTAGCCCAAACCATACAGGCCACTCATGGATCATATGAGGACATATCATGTGGCAAGTTCAATCAGAATACTATCAAATACGAATCCCCCTACACCATTTTCCAAACATGACCTAGAAAAATCATGAAACAATAATAAATCTGAATAAGCATATTCATATTTCCAAACATATAATTTCTTACTAGCACAATTATGTGCAAATTTTCATCCCACTAGCAATAAAATTTTCCAAATAGACATATACATTTCCCAAACATATATGATTCCAAATAGTACTTTATTTTACAAAAAAAAAAAAACATACACACACACATAAATAATCACATAACTTACACCATAACATAAAACTAAAAGTTACCTTTGCTCCTAGTAATCAAAGCTTCTTGGACAAGTGATTTCTCACTACTCACACCTTCAACTCCTTTATCTACACATAATACAACACTAAGCATCATTAATGTTTGTGTTTAGACATTAATCACACTTTAATATATGGTTAGGTTAATTTTTTAATAGACTATGTCAGATTTACAATTAAAAACATTACTAAAATAATAAGTGATATTTAGGAATTAACATGTCACCATTATGTTATGACAAACAAGTGTTTTGGAAGCTAAATTTATTACCTATATGAACATGTTAGTATAATGACATTTAAACGTCAATTTAAAATTGAGAAAATGTAAAATACATGAATTTTTAAACCCTCAATTCTTTATAGATTATATCATATTAACAAGTAATATTAGTAAAATAACAAGCATTATATTCTACACAAAAAAATAACAAGTGCTATTTAAGAATTAATAAGTCATCATTATATTATAACAAACAAATGGTCTGAAAACTAAATTTATTACTCATATGAACATGTTATTGTGATTACACTTAAATGTCAATTTACAAATGAGAACTTGTAAAATACATAATTTTTTAAACCTTTCAATTTGTAATTGGTTATGTCAGATTAATAAGTAACATTGATAAAATAATAAGTATTGTTGAAAAATTAACAAGGCACTATTATTTTATAACTTGGAAGTAGCTTAGAAGCTTAGTTGATTGCATTTTTTCTTTTATCTTACATGATTAAAATAGTTTGGTGACTTGGTGGCCACAAGCTTTTTAGGTAGCCAAAGAGTCATGAGTTCAACCCCCTTAGCCACCTTCACCATTTATCAATCAAATTGGTCACTAGAGCTTAAGTGACTGGCCACCGGTGGCAGGGTCTAAGAAAAACTTGTTCGAGAGGTCCTTGATTGTAATTTTTTCTGTTAAGATTTTGTATTCAGAAATAAAATTGGAATATAGAATTGTAAATCATAATATATAAAGTTGCAAATCATAGCATATGAAGTTATCCCTTTGGGACTTTAGTGTCATATTCTCTCTTCATTATATGAAAAATTTATGATCTGTCTGATTTCTAAAAGAATAAGTTTGGCTCGGTTTGGAATAAGTGATGAAAAAAATTCGTGAAAGAAACACTAATTTCTTGTCGTAAAAAATATGTTAAAAGCTGATTTCCATTTACCCTTGTGGTAAAGGGAATTTCATATCCGTTGTGAAGAATAGAAAATGCACAACCCAAAGTTAATGCCCTTGTGAAGAATTTCATATCCGTGATACTGTTATTGTATAAATTGTGTGATTGTGAATCATCATCAAACTCACCACAACTACAAAAGAAAATATTTAAATAAAATAACATTCCTCTATCCCAATTTATAAGACACTTTTAAAGGTAATTTAGTGTAATAAAATATAAGATGCTTTAACAAAAATAAAATTTTATTAATTTTTTTTGGCCAAAGAGATTTTATTAATTGTACTTGTTCATTCCCTACTTACTATATTTTCTCTCTCTGTTTAATGTTTTACAAATAAAATTATATAAATGAAAGATATTTTTAAAAATTTGTATTTATTTTTTTCAATTGTAAAGTATATGCAATCAACTTTAATTGCGCGTATAATGTTTAGGTTAAAATATAATTTTTGCCCTCAAGTTTTTAGAAAGAAGAAGGTTAATTGCAACCACTTCCTTAACGGGGCAGAGATTTTGAGACCTATTCAGTTTTTTTAAAAATTCAGTTTGGTTCGGTTATAATAAATTGTGAAAGATTGTAAATTTTCTAACAGCATTGATTATGTGAAATTTTTTGTAAAAGAAACACTAATTTCTTGTAATAAAAATGAAAGAAATCCAAAGAGACCATCCTAATAATGATGACTAATAAATACTTCCTCCGTTTAAAAATAAAAGTATTTTTAACCAAATTTTACCTTCCAATAAAATAGTTATCTACTTTCAAACTAATCCTATTTTTTCATACTTATCTCTATCAAATATCATACAATAAATATAAAGTTATTATTAATAGGGATATTTTTTAAAAAAAGACAAGGATTATACCTTAAAAGACTACAAATACATTACATTTTTAAACATTCAACTCTTTAAAAAATGCTTTACATTTTTGAACGGAGAGAGTATAAAATAATTTTTAAATCTTAATAAATAATATATCATAATGATATTTATAAATCTCAACCGAATCCCGTTTAATAATATATCATAACAAAAAAAAAATGATAACAGCTAGTTTCTAATTACTCTTGTGGTAAAGGTGATTAATTACTTGAAGGAAGCCTACAACAAGACAAAATAAGAAAATGCACAACACAAAAAATTAATGAATCCCCTCTAGAATAATTTCATATCCGTGTTACTGTTATTGTATTTTTCTTTTAATGCTAGTTGTTTACAGGAAAAAAAAGCTCATTAATTATTTATTTTCGTTGAAGAATCGTGATTAAGAAACTTCATCACAATCACCAGAAGTTCATAAGAAAATATTTGATAAAATAATAAGTTATAGTAATATAATATTAATTAATCGATTGACAAGTTAGGCCTCACATATTTGCTTATTTGTTATTTTGAGCAAAGTTTGAAAGAAGAAAGCAAAACTGATATGCATTAAGTAGTTGATAATTGACTTGCTAACAAGGAAGATAGGGTCCTATGAGAAGCGTTTCAAATGCTATCTACCACCAAAAACAAGCAACAAAACAAAAACAGTCACTTCCCAAATGAAAATGTTCGTTTAATGAGGCATCACTCTTTTTTCTTTTTTCCCAAAAAAAAAAGAGATCAATTTATGTATTCAATCAGTCCATCACAAAAATACATATAAAAGTGTATTCACATCAAAATAAAGAAAAAAGAAATGGCAAAAGATATAATTATTATTAAAAATTAATTGTGAATTGCGGAGTGACTAAGTCCATATCAAATAGTTGAACGAGCTTATATCCTAAAATTTTAAGTTCAAATTTTATGATATATAATTATATTAAATAAATATACTAAATGTATCTTTTAAGGTACTCGTGAGGCCATCATTAATAATAATGGCTTCACATATATAGCTGGGGGTTTGGGTTAATTTAGATGGAAAATGGTGATAGTTTCAAGTTTCTCAAAATATCAAGCGGTAGAATCAACAAATAATAGGTAAATGTGTATTTCTTATTATTTAATTTTACATAAAGTTTTAATTTAATCTTTTAATTATATAAAGTATTTTTTTAGTCTTTTTACATTAATACTGTTGGTTTTACCTAATAGACCCTTGTTTTAATGTGATAAAATTTCATGTCATGATACGTCAAACCAAAATAAAATAAAATAAAAGATTAAGAGGTGGTGTCAAATTCAATTATACCATATAAAGAAAGAGGATTCAATTTAGAACTTTATGAGTAATTAATTAATTAGAATTAATGATAGTGTAAATGATGAATTAAGTGATCGTCTCTTGTTCTCTTTGGATAAATTTCGTTTCACATATCCATTCGATCTCTTTGGTTTTTTCCCAGAAACTTCACACACACACTCACACACACTCACACTCTTACACTTGAAGGCTTTGTGATTTGAAATGAATAATCGGAAAATGAGGGCATTGAAGGTTCCAAGCCTAACGATGGTGGGTCTCTTGTTCGTTGCAATTTTCGTTACTGCTCAGATCCAGCTCTCTGCGTTATACTCTATGATCTTCTCTTCTTCTTCGTTGTCATCGTGGTCGTCGTCTTCTTCTTCTTCTGATCTCTCTCTCAGATCATCACTTTCTAATCGTTCTGCAACTTCAGAGGACCAGTCTCCGCCAGGTATATATGTCTTAGTTTACCTTTCCCATATCTTTATGATTTTAGTGAGCTAGACAGTGAAGCTCATGTATCCAATTACTATATATGAATATGTTTAGACCAGGAAGAATTTCATTATCTTAATATATTGGATATCAATCTGTGTCTCTTAAGTTTTTCGAAAAGGTTCCCATGAAATTTCCATTTGTGTGGAGACTTTAATTTCATGGGTAATAGGAGCTGCCAAAAAAATAATAAGTCAAACTTATATTATTTTTATATCATATATACATATTTAATATTTTAAAGATTTTTTATTTATAAATTAGAGTATCAAAGTTTTTTAGACAAAAATGTATTTTTCTCCTCACTTTACATAAAACTTCAGTTTGGTTTCTTAATTTTATAAAATATTTTTTAAATCCTTTTAACACTAATATTGTTAACATCAAATGACTTTTTTTGTGCATATAATTTTACAAAAATAAACTTTATATGCCAATATTTATAATATTATACAACATTTAAAAGTTCAATGTAAGCTTCTTTTTTTTAATGAAATTAACAGTTTTAGAATTAAAGAATTAAAGAATTAAAAAGACATTTTATAAATATTAAGGGATCAAAATAAATTAAAACCTTATATAAAGTTAAATGATCAAATGTAACTTTTATCAAGTTTATTTTACTTTCAAAATTATTTTTTTATTTTATGCTTTATTTCATTTTATGTGTTATATGAAAATTATATTTAAATATGGAAATAAAAAATGAAAGATAATACTCTTTCATGTATATACTTTAAGTTGACTGAATTTTCTACTTTACTTCATGATAAAATTGATATAAATAATATTTCTTAGAATTAAATAATCAACTAGATTTGACTCCCATCAGTAAGCAAAGGATTTTCTTTTACATAATAATTTGATAATAATCAAGACAAATATAAAATGCACGGTTCATTTCATTTTAATTTTATACATTGTTGATGATATTGGTTATTGAGATTGATGATTATTTTTTTTTTTTTCAATTGTATAATTAGAAAAAGCAAGTGGCAAAATCAAGCAACTTCTACCCGAGTCATCCCAACTTTCAACAGCCACCCAAATTAGCTGCGACCACAGTTCTAATCGTTATGATCTTTGCAACATTAGTGGTCCCACTGTTGTGGACTCCACTACGACTACATTCTTTGTTATGGATCGTGCAAGATCTAACAAGCTGAAGATTGTGGAGAAGATTAAACCATACCCAAGAAAATTTGATCATGACATGATGCCCAAAATCAAGGACGTCACTCTCATTTTAGGCCCAAAAGGCCCAAAATGCAAGGTACACCACAACGTGCCAGCCTTGGTATTCTCTGTTGGTGGGTACACTGGAAACTTTTTCCATGATTTCAACGATGGATTCATCCCTTTGTTCATCACCATCAATACTATTTTTCCAAATCATCAAGATTTTGTGATCGTCCTATCTGAGGGCCCTAATTGGTGGCACATCAAGTACATAGATTTACTAAAAGTGTTCAGCAAGCACCCAATTATTTCCCTAAACAATGAAACCAAAACCCATTGTTTTCCTTCAGCCCATATAGGCCTCATTTCACATGGTTTCATGACCATAAACCACACATTATTACCAAACTCAAAAACATACTTGCATCTTCATGACATGGTACATAAAGCCTATGGCAACCACCATAACCAAATTCCTCCACCCACAAGTCTCACTTTTCGACCACAACTCATTTTTGTGATCCGAAAAGGTGCCATTGGAAGAGTAATAGTGAACCAAGGAGAAGCAATTCGAGTCATGGAAGAAGTAGGTTTTGATGTGGTTGTTTTCGAGCCTAAGGAGAATACATCATTACATGAGTCTTATGCACTTGTTAGTTCAAGCCATGCTATGATTGGTGTTCATGGTGCTGCGCTTATGCACTCGTTATTCCTCCAAACAGGATCGGTGTTTATGCAGATTGTTCCGATAGGGATAAAATGGGCGGCAAAAGCATTTTTTGGGAGGGTAGCGAAAGGGTTGAAGTTAGAGTACATGGAGTATCATATTGAAGTGGAAGAGAGTAGCTTGGTGGAGAAATATGAGAGGGACAGTTTAATGCTGAGAAATCCAAGTTCTTTACAAAAGGGTGGTTGGCCAATAGAGGTAATGGATATATATTTGAAGGAGCAAAATGTGAAGCTAGATTTGGTTAGGTTTAGAGGGTATTTGAAGGAAGCATATGAGAAGGCCTACAAGTTCATGTACACAAAGAAGAAAGTGGATTTACCTTAAAAATGACTATGGTAAAATGATTAGAGTGATATATATATTTTTTTAAAAAAACTGACCCTACAATGTGACCACATCAAGAATGTGTTGTTATTGATGTACGTATGAAAGGAGCATAGCATAAGGAGTGCATGCTGACTCACCCTTTTCTATTGGCTTTCCTTTTTTTTTTTTATCATTGATGTTACGAGGTTCTTGTAGTTCATCATCATCATCATCATCATGCAAATATGTATGATTGGTCCTCTAATTTTATGTTATAAAATGAATAAAGATTTAAAAGAAGAGAAGAGAAATATTAGAAGGAAAGAATTAGAGAGTAAGAGAAGAGATAATTCTCATTTTAGTATATTGAATACAACAAAGTTGCCTCCCATTTATAGGCACATATGTAACTGAATAAATTAAATAAAATATACAAGATAATAATAATTGAAAGATACAAGAGTGATAGGAAGATATTGATGTAACTGAAAGATATTGACATCTATCTAATATTTTAAATATTCATAATACTCCTTCTTAGATGTCTATAAAAAATATTGTGTATCGTTAAAACTTCACTAGAGAAAACCCGAGGGAACAAAACTTTAATGAAAGAAAAAAAGAACAATATGTTCCTAACATTGCCTCTTTAAAAACTTTGCCACAAAAAAAACCCAATGAAAAAACATGGTCAATAATGAAAAAAGAGTACAATGTATATAAACTCCCTTTCATGATTAGATCAATTAATGTTCTTGAGCTTGTGAACTCGAATATTGTATACAAGATTCTCAAAAGTTGAAGTGGGATCGAAGTGCTTTGGTCAACAAGTCTATTAGATTATTACTGCAATAAAATTGTTGAATTTTGATTTCTCCATTTTTCTGAATATCATGTGTTAAAAGTAATTTTAGTACAATATACTTTGCTATGTCTTCTTTAATATATCCTTCTTTCAACCAGGCAACACATACATCATTATCTTCATGTATTAAAGTTGGGATCATTTTTCTAGAAGACCAAGGGTGCTTTGAATGTGATGGACCACGGAACTTAACCAAATGCAATCTATTTTGCTTCATGCATTGCTAAAACTTCTACATGATTAGAAGATGCGACTGCTATAGTCTTTTTCATATATTGCCATGAAATAACTATGTTGCCACCATAAGTAAACAAATAGCCCATTTGAGATCGACCATTATGAGGGTCTGATATGTATCCTGCATCTGTGTAACCAACTTGTCTAATTTTATTTTATTAGAATATAATAAACCTATATCTATGCATGGTACCTCTAAGGTAATGTAGAATATGTTTAACTCCATTTTAATGTCTTTGTGTTGGTGAAGAATTCTATCTTGCTAACAAATTAACAGAAACTTAGAGCCATCAATTAATGTCGAGCCTATCAGCTGGCTCTTTCAAGCTTAAAAAATCCAAGGTTGGACTGCTACTTTAGAGTGTAAAATGATAATTTGAGCTTAAAAATGTTGGTCTTTTAAAGCCCTAAAATAAAATGATAGGCCTTTTAAGCCCTTTTATAATTTTTTTAAATTTTAATATTAAAAAAAATTAAATGCTACACTAATTCTAAAACCCTAGCCTTATTTCACGAAGATGAAAGAGGAATATATGAAAAGCTTAATATATTTGCTACTAATAAGGTTCTACAATGAGAAGGATAAAATTATATTGATATTGATGATAATGAAAATAATCAAGATTTAGTTGATGATGCTAGCAAAATTTGATTATTATTGGTGTTGATTTTGTGATGTTGTTTTTAATTAGACTTAAATTTATTGTTGTGTGTATTGACTTAAGTTTGTTTTTTAGACTTAATGTTATGTGTAATAACTTTTTTAGGCTTTTAAATAATTTTTTTTATATTTTTAAGTTGAAAAATGAAGTTAGTCCTTCAGCCTTGAGGGTCAGGCCCGCCTGACCAAAATGGAGCCTTAAGGTATAATTAGACTTAACAGGGCCAGCCCGTTTAGACCCTGCCCTTCAAAGGCCGACTCTAATTGACAACTCTATAGAAAATGATATATTAGGTCATGTGTGATTATCAAGATACATTAATGCTCCAATTGTATTAGGATATGGTACTTCTAGACCTAGTAGTTCTTCATCCTCTTCTAAATGCTTAAAAGGATCTTTGTTCTTTTCTAAAGATCTAGCAACTATTAGAGTGCTTAAAGGATGTGATTTGTCCATATAAAAGAACTTAAACTCATATATAGTGATCAATTATTCAACATGGACATCAATCAGACCATTAACAGTGAAATATATGATTTAGTCACTCTTTTTGGGCCAACAAATGTGTCTAGTAATTGATTTGCTAAATTTTACAATTGAATTATCCTTTGAACTTTTTGTTCTACTACAAAAAAGGCTATATTGAATGGTTGTTTTTTCTTATATTGGACAATTATTGGAAAAGCAAATATTGAACAGTTGAAAGAATCTTCCAATATTTGGAGCCCAATATTGGATGGTTCATAAAAAGCATCCAATATGTGTGGTATAGCATATAAGTTAGGAGGGAGGGGAGGGTATATTAGACTGTTTGACCAGGGCTATCTAATATATATCGCTATATTGTACAATTATGGTCCTAGCCATAATAGTCCAATATGTTTTTTAATAATAGAAGAATGCATTTTTAGCAACTTGCTACAATAGCACAATTCAAATATATAAGAAAAAATTTAGTTCAATCCAGTTCAAAATTACACTAAACTAATAGCAAATGTACTAAACTAACAATTTTTATTAAAACTATGAAAATCAAAATTATTTGCTATACAATTGCTCAAAACTAATCTAACTTATAGAATCTAAATGAGAAAAACTATATAAAAATGTCCAATTCACTTATTTTTTGTCCACAGCTAGAAAACATACCTACACCATTCTTCAATGACTTCATTGATATAAGGACTTCTAAATTCTTCACAATAAGAGTCATGATAATATTGCAATAATGTAATATGACAACAAAGTTAGTTAATTGTTTGAGTAAATTAAAATTCATAAATACATATAATTGAAGCTAAATAACATACATATCGTTGTGAGGATTAGTGTTATCCTGTGAGTGATGATGTCTCTAAGAAATCTCATCACAATTTGTTGTGGTCACTGTATAAAAAACCAATAAAAATGGCATTGAATTAATTAAAAAGTAAGTATTGATTGTTTAAATTAATAGTGATAAATGTCTTTATTATCTTCCAATCGCTATATGGCAGATCATATGAGTTGTACCTTAATGGTACAGGAATGCTCATTTTTGTGTGATAAAGTACCATAGTCCTAATAAGAAAGAAAATAGGTTAAAGTTAGAAATTCAAAACAATAATATATATTTAAATAATTCCACCATCTCCTTTATATTATCTGGCTACCCACCAGTAGAATCCAAGTAGTAAAACTTTACAGTTTTAATTGCAAACAACATAATGCTAATAAACATTCAGTGGCTCCTAAGACATACAATTCGAAAGAATGTATCATGAAATTTTAAAAAGAAAATATAGACTAAATTGATTAGGATACCACTAAACTCATCCTTACACATATGGTACCAAAAATAACATCCCTAAAATAGGGTTCGTTGTTGCAAAGTAATTTGTTAATGTCATCGCTTGCTCTTGTTGTGCCTTGATAGTGACGACGAGATGAGCAGAGATATCATGAGGAAAGAGATTTTCCATTGTTACTTTGCAAGCTATAATTAATAATTAATAATAATAATTTACACAATAAAATAACCAAATCATAAATTACATCAAAACATATAAAGAACTAAGTTTCACATTAATTCATTAAATACTCAAAAGTATATCACAAACATATTCAAATCAAACCATACCAAAAGCAATTAAAAAAAAAATCTAATGTAGATATAACATCATAATCCCTACACAAAACCAGCAACTTCATCATTTTCATTATTTTCTTCACTCACCAGCAATCTTTCACCATGATTCTATCCCTGCACCACAAACCAAAACCAAAAAGAAAAAGAAAAAGAATCACGTCATTTTTTTTTGAAGGGAGGTACGTAGAACCAATAATATAACCCAAAAAGAAAAAATCCCATAATAAAGAAAAATGAAGGAAATTGATGAAAGAGAGTTTAATTCCTTTATGATAACTCCATCAACATTAACCAAATTATAAGACACTAACATTAGTTTAGTCTAATTATATCTTGGTAATTAGCTATTTCTCACCCAAGCCAATGAATAAAAATTCAATCTTGATCAATACTTCAAGTCAATATAATAACTACAAGCTAGCTAAATTATTAACAATTTTTTGAAAATATAGTGCTTTCGAGACAAGTACACCAAGTTAGGATCATGCTCTTTATATGCATTTAATTTTCAAGTCCCAAGCACCTGCAAAGTATGAATAAGATGTGTCTATTATAATTTTTTTTTTTGGTAACAAGTCCCAGCTTCTCTCCATGGGGAGCAAAATAATCTGAAATAAATTTTTTTGCATATTTTCTTTGTTCATGATCACATAGATAGAAGCTTGAGATCACCTGGAGTTTGGAGAGAAGCTACAATGAAAAACTGTCAAATGAACTTGTGGAGGAGTAGAGATTTTCAAAATCTATTCCTTAATCTCCTCCATCATTTTTGCCACGCCCGCACCACTTGTTATATTATATATCATATTCAAACACTAATTAATTAAGAATAAACATGCGTTGAAAATAATAAGACTTCAAAAAATATGAAAATAACAGAAAGCAAGGAACAATGATACATACTTGCCTATAGTGATGCTGCGCACTCACAAAAACCATGAAGGCCAAAATGAAAATAAGCAGGGGATTATAGTCACCAATTCAATATCAAATAAAATAACATTTTTTAATTATTAACCAACAAATCAATGTCTATCAAGTGATCAAAGTGAACACAATTGGATATTATTGCAGAGCAAATTGAATATGATAGAACATGAATTCATGTTAACCAATTTAGTGGCAA